AATGTGTAAGTGAATAAGTGTATGAGTGTATGAGTGAGTGTACGAGTGTACAAATACAAGAGTGAGAGAGTGAGTGAGTGTATGAATGTATGAGTGAATGAGTGAGTGTGTGAGAGAAAGAAAGAGAAAGAAAAAGAGAGTTATGTAGAAAAGTTGAGAGGGTGGGGGAAAAATGAAAAAGGCACCGATGTCATGCGACCGACGTGACCTCTCATCGGTGACCCCGGACGAACCGGCCGACGACGACGACGACGACAACGACAACGACGACGAGGATGACGACAAGGACAACGAAGAAGAAGGGACTACGACTACGATGAGGAAGAAAGAAAAAGAGTAGAAAATAAATGTATGGGGCAGGAGGCTACGTTGAAGATACTACGTTCATGGTTAACCGTGAAAAGGTACGGTAGGTAGACAAACTTGATCGTATTCCTCGCGTTCTATCTTTTTTATACAAAATAACAAATAAAAAATTGTAAAGGGAGAAGAAGATGATGATGAAACGATGAAAAGCATAAAGAAGAAAGAATAAGAAAAATAAAAAAGAGGAAGATGTGATAAATGTATGTGCGAAAAGGATGAAAATGACGTAGTAGTAGTAGTAGTAGTAGTAGTAGTAGTTGTGAAGGGATGACAATATATGTGGAGCATCGAATAATAAAAACGAAAGAGAAAAAAAAACGTATGATGAACTAGACTAAGATATATGCATCATGGTTTACCTAGATTTTTATCTATAAGATAAAAATAAATTCTGTTAAAAAATAATAATACTAATCATTTTTATCTTTTTGGTAAAAATTATTATAGAATTTTTATTTATAAAATAAAAATAAATGCATCGTGTTACCTAGATTTTTATATAGGTGAAAAAATAAAATAAAAATAAAAATAAAAATATAAAAATAAATTCTGACGAAAATAATAATACTAACCATCTATCCTATAATTAAAAAATATATAATAATCTGTGTGTGTGTGTGTGTGTGTGTGTGTGTTGTACAAATAAATAAAATAAATTTCTATCTCTTATAAAAAATAATTCAAAAATATTTCAAATGTTATTACATTCATTCAAAATGATTTTCTAAGTATATTGATTTTTTGTTATAAGTGTAGTGCAGTAAAAGTAAAATATGTTCGATGATTAGTTGTATTAGAAAAAAAATGAAATAAAATTAAATAATAATCTCATGATGTTAAATACTAGCAATTGCGAAATGGTTTTCTAGACGTCGGGATAACCCTAACGATCGGAATTTGTCCGTTCGGACAGGTACACGAGGTACAAACTAGGAGAGTAATCAGGAAGTTATGGAAGCTGACGAAGGGGACTACTACTACTACTACTACTACTACTACTACTACTAACCAACCAAGTCGTGCGCGGAATGGTCAAACGGGAAGATAAACTCGTCGACGTTCCCCTTCTAAAAAGAGAGAAAGAGATAAAGAAAGAATATTTTCTACTCTTCCTTCTTTTCTCTTGTCACCGGCTTTCCAACGATACCAGAAAAAAAAAAGCAGAAAAAAAAATCAACAATTTCAACTTTTTTTTTTTACCATTCCATATTCGTCGATGATTTTTAAACCGGACGGGACACTGTCCTAACTTTCGATCATGGTTTGTATTTGTTTTTTTTTTTTTTTGTATTCAGGATGATCATTTTATAATAAATAAAATAAGAATTGTTATTTTCGATCAAAATTGTTCAAATAATTTATGAAGATTTGTTAAAGAAAAGATATAAGTTAAATACTTGTGTGTTACTATAATAATATATATATTTTATTAATTAAAATTAAATTAATTTATAATTTAATTTTAAATATATATTTATATATATTATAATCTAATATATCATATATTAAAATATATTTTTAAATAAATATAATTTATTTGTAAAATAAAAAAATATATATATATAATTAACCTACTTATGTGTGACTATAACAAAATTCAACATAATTTGTTATATCTGAAACTTCTAATTAAAATTAAAATAAAAAATAATAATAAAAAAAAAAAAAGTAAGATAATCAAATTAATTAAATCACTTAATAAATATCAAAACCAATTAACCCATTAAACTATTTTTATAACCTCGAGATTATATCAACGATCATAAACTAACTGATAAAAAAAAAAAAAAAAAAAGATGTCAAGTATAATGTTATATTAAAAAATATTAATGAGGTCAATTGTGATATTACACAAGTTAGATAAAAATTCGTGTGAAAGATTTCATTGATTTCAAATCTTATCTTCAAACTAAAATTGATGTTTGTTGAGTTTAGACCCAAGTGCTTGTCAGATTGTTGCCGCCTGCCATTCAGACAAATTCCGGCCATTAAACTTCGAATGTTCGTACGGTTCACGAGGTTCATATTTTTTTTTTTATTTCTTTTTATTTCTCACAACTAACAGAACCCCACCCCACCCTATTCCCTCCCACCTATCTCTCTCTCTTTCTCTCTCTCGTTATTTCTATCTTTTCAAAGGTCTACGATCAACGTTGAAGAATATGATGTTCGACCGTGGATTGACCCTTACGGTACCGCCAACAACGTCAATGGTTTAATTACGATAGTCATTGCTTCTTCTTCTTCTTCTTCTTCTTCTTCTATCGGAATTCTTTTAATGAAAGAAAAATCCCACCCCTTTTTCTCCTTCTTCTTTTTTTTATTTTTTTATTTTTAAGTTTAAGGATCAATGAAAGGCGGTAGCAGATGGATCCTTTTCTCTACTTAGGCTACGTTAGGTTAGGTTAGCATTAACGTTTTATACAGTAAACATTTTTCTGACATTAAAATTATACCTTATTGTGTTAAATATTAACTCAACATGCATTCTACTAATCTTAAATGAGGTTTAATCTTGTATTTTAGAAAAAATAAACTAGTGAACTAATTGAACTTTGTTTAACACGTTGCAACACACTTTTAATTTGACGATCGTGTTTAGAAATACAAAGATCGGATTTGCAGCAACGTGTTAAACAATAAAAAAAGAATAAATGTGTGAATTTTAAAATAGAAAACAAGATTATTAAATAAAAAAACGTTACTTATAAGTAAGATAAATGAAAATTGATTGAAACGAATCGTTAGACGTGGACAAGATGCCAAGAGAATCTTCTTCCTCTCGATTCTTTTCGCAAACGTAGGCGGCTCCAAGAAAAGGTACGCAGATCTCCGATGAGAAAATGACCCCGACTAGGTACCCATACATACATATATATATATATATGTGAGCAAGTAAACTATATAAACGTTTAGTCGTACATATACAAGTGTTAGTTTTCAACGTTACTAACCAATACTAGTAATATTTGTTAATACATACAAACCTAACTACATATACATACATACATGGACATATATAACGTGCCTCATGTGGCATGTACATGACACACACATAATATGTGAGCAAGTAAACTATATAAACGTTTAGTCGTACGTATACAAGTGTTAGTTTTCAACGTTACTAACCAATACTAGTAATATTTGTTAATATATAGAAATCTAACTACATATRCATACATACATGCATATATATAACATGTGGCATGTACATGACACACAAATAATATGTTTTGGTAATGATAGTATTGTTTATGTGTAAGTAAACTACATAAACGTTTAGTCGTGCATATATAAATGTTAGTTTTCAACGTTACTAACCAATACTACTAATATTTGTTAATGCATAGGAACTTAATTACATATACATACATATATATGTGTGTAACGTGTCTCGTGTGTTATGTACATGACACAAAGTATATGTATATGTGTTAGTAATGGTAGTATGGTAACGCGTGTGGCGTAGGTGATAGTAAATGTCCAGTTGTGATGGTGGGAGTACCGCAAAGGGTCAATCCACGAGTCCCCAGCGTTTATATTGTGAAGGTAGAACTCGTAGAAGAAGCTTCTCCGGGTTCACAGTCTCCCTGGCAATGTTCGAACACTTAATGGCCGGAATTTGTCTGCCACGGCAGGTACATACGACCGATGGTCTTCTTCTTGTGCTCTTCTTGCACGAACACAAACTGAATCCAACTACTCTGCACGATTTTAAGAGAGAAAGAAAGAAACGGGGAGAAAAGGGGTGAGGGGTGGGGTGGGGTGGGGGTTGAGTAAGTAAAAAAGGAACACAGATTAATGAATGTAATGTTGGTTGTTTCTTTTTTTCTTTTTTTTTTCAATTTTGTATGGTAAATATATGATTTATTTGGACAACATAAAGTACGACATAAGATCGTTTCACGTGATGATGAGCTAAAACAAAATGGAAAAAGGAGGAGACAAGAGAATGATGAAGGTGGAATGATGAAGGGGAATGGCGGGAGGGAGGAGGAGGAGGAGGAAACACTGAGCTCGATCGAGCATTTTTCACGAGCCATTAACTCCCGAAGTAACGGCCCGCTCACCTTAACGAGATAATGACTTTACACTGTCGCTTTGTCGATGCGACCAAAGAGTAGATAAAAAAAAAATAATAGAAATAAAAAGAACTAGATAAAGAAAGGGGAAATTGAAAATGTCGAACAAGGAAATAACATTATGATATATTCTGTACGAAATTGTAAATCTAGGAATTAAAATTTGTAACTGTTGACATAAATGTAAATTAATAAAGAAAAAGAAAAATATATGTAAATTAACAAATAAAACAATGTAATAATAAAATGTAAAATATGTTCGATAAAAATGATGAGTACGTTGACCCGCGTTTCCTGTTTTTTTTTTTTTTTTTTTTTTTTTTTATTTTTTTATTTGGAAGTAAACGACCTTGCGTAACACGTGCTACGTGCCAAGGCCAATGTCATCGTAAAATATTATAATTTTCGTGTAAGGTGATCCACTTTTGTTGTAAACGAAAAAGAAGAAGAAGAAGTTGAAGAAGAAGAAAGGAAGAAAAAGAGAGAAAGAAAAAAAGAAATATAAAGAACGTATGATTGGTCGAGAATGACTCAATGAAAAATTTTCCTTACCGATAAGGTCCTTCGATAAATTTTTTTCTTTTCCTTTTCTATACTCGTCCTGTCGCTTCTGAAACATACATGGAGATATTGATCAATTCAGTGATAAATTTATTAATCAAATTATTCATTTATTTATATTCTATTTTATTGATAATAATTAAATATGAAATTTATAATAAATATAATAATTATTTATAATAAATGGTATTCCAAAGAAAACAAATTGTACAATACACACATATATAATATAAAAATTATAATATTAATTTATATTAATTTATATTAATATAAATAACAAAAATAAATTATATTTAAATAAAAATCCATAGTCATAAATATCCCATAAATATAATTCCATATAATAAAATCAATTAACTTATATAATTCCTAACAATATACAATCATTATTATAATAAAATTCAATTTCATCTTCTTATATGCAATGAAATAAAACAAATACGTAAGCCGATTAAAATGTTACTTTTCAAACGTGCCTATTCGATCATTCAAAAATCAATCGAAATCATTCGAATAACACCATTCACGTATTACACATATATATATATATTAAAGGTGTATCGATCGGTTCGTTCACGAGGTTCCTTTCGTAGATTAAGTTACGAGATAAGTGCTTGTTATCCCCCCTTTTTCCTTTACCATCAGCCATCTCTCTCACAAACGAGACGTTATATTAACTCGGAGAAACGTGCATTTCGATTTCCTTTGAATCTACACTGAGAGGCTTCGTGGAATCTGGATCGAGTATGTTCGATTCTCCTTATCCATACCTTATACATACATATATACATATATATATATATATATATATATACTCTCAAGTGTGTATATGTAGAGAGAAACAGAAAGAGAGAAACATAGAAAACATTGAAAGAAAAAGATACTCGTGTACAATACATATATATATATATATGTCTGTGTGTTTACTTAAACATATGCATGAAACACATTCGTGTACATGAAATCATGTATGAAACACACTAGTGATATGAAAACATGTATGAAACACACTTGTGTATATGAAAACATGTATGATACATACTGGTGTACATGATCTCATGCATGCATGAACATACTCTGTGTACATGGACACATGTGTGAAACACACTTGTGTATATGAAAACATGTATGAAACACACTGGTGTACATGATCTCATGCGTGTACATGATCTCATGCATGAACATGATACATGCATGAACCACATTCGTGTACAGGAACACATGCATGAAACACACTCGTGTACATGAACAAATGCATGAGACACACTCATGTACTTGACATATGCATGAACCACATTCGTGTACATGAACAAATGTGTGTATTAAACACAAATCAGAGAAGGTAAAAGAAGACAGACAGACAAAGAGAAACACACAAGTTTGAACGTCTTGTAGATGTCGATACGGTTTCAGTTACCTAATCGCGTTAGTGTTATTCCACCATTGGTATTGTCTCCTTCTATCTATCTATCTCTCTCACAGACTACTCTTCTAACACTCAGAACTAAGCGTTTACTTATTCACTAACTCACTCACTCACTAACTCACTTTCCCCTACTCTTACTTAGTTCCGAGTTTAACGACGCGTGAACGCAAACTTTACTCGTTCCATTACATTTTCTTACTAGGATAATCTACCACATTGATTCTAACACATACATATGTATATATGAAAGAAAAGTATAGGGGTAATATATATATATATATATATACACAAAAATGAAAGAATTAAAACAAAAATCTTGACAATTGAAAATTATTCTTTTAAGTCGATAAAAAAAATTAAAACAAAATTTAAATAAAATTCTAAAAGTACGATAAATCGGTGTCATGGTATAATCTATGATAAGAGATAAAAAAAACAAGTTCAAAGTTCAAAGTTAACGTAGACAATAAAAGTCTGACCACCACTTTCGTATGGTGGACAAGATAAACAAACAAACAAAAAGAAAGAAATAAAGAGAAAGCAAAAGAGTGGGTGGAAAGTAGGGAGTGGGGGGAGGGGTGGGGGTGGTGTGTGTTAAGAAAGAGAAGGGGTTGTTACACACGTGTTCATACGATTTAAATACTTGATCGCAATTCGTTCGAGTATTTAAACGCACGTTTCACGTATTTCTATCGCTATTTAACATTCGATTCGGTCTTTTACTCTTCTTCTTCTTCTTCTTCTTCTTCTCCTTCTAATACCATGAAATATATTCAAGTGTATGTGTATATATGTGTATGTGATAAAAATAAAAAAATAAAAAGGAACAGAATTTGCTTACGTGTTGAAAATTGCATAGGTCGTCGAAGTTCTCTGGAACTTGGAATTTTCCAAAGAAAAATAAAAAAGGACTATGGGGAGGGGAAGGATGAGGGAGAGAGGGAGAGGGAGAGAGAGGGGGGGAGGGGAAAGGTTGAACTCGTCTTGAATTTAATGACTGTCCCCTGTCATTCCGTTCGTTACTTTACTACGTCTCGAGATTTGTAGATATTTTCTATGTACGTGTATTGTAAGTATATATATATATATATAGTTAAGTATAGTATGTAAGAACGTAGGTTGCTTATAACTATATATATAAATATATGTGTGTGTGTGTGTGTGAAGGTGCACACGGTGAGAGTTCGTAAAAGCGAAAGTAGGAAAGGATTATCGTCCGAGGGTGAATTTTATGACCGAAGAAGGTGGGAAAAATTGAAAGTACTCGAAGAGAACCCGAACTCAAGGACGAATTTTAAACGACGTTGGGTGCTGGGTCTTGTGTTATAATACTTGTCTATTTTTTATTTTTATTTTTTTATTTTTATAATGTAATATTTGTATCCTTCTATATTCTAATAAAAAGAAATAATTATTTGCTATAGTAAGTGTCTGTTTTTTTTTTTTATTGGATTAGTTCGTTGAAGCTATGAACAATTAAACCTCGTAAATCACTTTTTTTTTTGGTTTCATGTTTAATTAGAATGATTGATAATTAATTGAACGTAACACAAGTTTAATGAACATAAAATATGAACGTAATATGACCTATTATTATTATTATTATTATTATTATTATTATTAATTTATTATTATTATTATTATCGTAATAAAAAATAGTCATAAGAAAAAGTACAACATTGAACTCAATTATATTAGTAATATAATTGAATATAGTGTAGATAATTAATCACTTATTAAACGTAATATTAATTAGGTATAATATTACAACATAATTATTACAAAAAAATACACACACACACACACAAATACAAAAAAAAGTATTTTAATAATTTAGACAAATTATGAACACCAAGAACGAGTTGTACAAATGCAAAAAAAAAAAATAGAAAAAAATTTCTGCTATAAATAAAATAATAATAATAATAATAAATTTTATTTTTTCAATTAAACAATTATTAAACATTTAAACGAGTTAAATAATTTTACAAATATTATAGTTACGATAATACAAATGTATATTTTTAATGATGTTAGATGATTACCCTTGCCTATCACGAAATTGAACTAGGCATCCTCTCCCCTCTCTGCTCTCCAATTTCCCCCTCTACTACGTTTCTTATCCCTCAAGATTACACTCATACTGGTTCGCGGTAATAAATATGCTGATTAAGCGGCGAACGTATAGTCGGTTAATTTGCAGTATATCAGCATCCAACGGTGAACGGTAATTGGCCGTGAGGCATTATTGCAAACTATAATCCATAAGGTTTGCTCTCAATAAGGACCCATAGTTGCTTCGCAAATTAGAAATAATCGAAAATCTATATACATGTGTGTATGTGTGTGTGTGTGTGTATGTAATACTATTTTAATCATTGAACAAAAATTCTTTACAGGATATTACGATATGTAAGATAGAACAACAACAACAAATAAAAAGGAAAATTGTAATTTAAATGATTATTCAGATCCAAAAAAAAAAGTATTTAATCTAAAATAAATTGAAATTATTCATTATTAATCAATAAAACGTTAAAACAATCTTAATTATATTAATTATATTAATAATGTATAGTACTGTATTAGATTTACCTCAATTAATTGTTAATTAAACGAAATATTGAAAGGGAAGATTCAAAGTACGCGCGCAAATTGTGTACTCCTGTGGAGACCTCTTTCGGTCAGCATGTTCACTACCACCTTCTTCGGGTATTCCCCTGTGTGCGAAATGCGGTTTTACACGTGCAAATTATTTAAACAATAATACGTTTAATGTTCTTTTTATGTAAGATTCCTTGTATCATTTATTTTACATCCACATCATCAACTTAACACGAACGAAACGTGAATTGTTGTTTAAAAACACCAAGTATATGATCGGAGTACTGTCATTCTCGAAATTCACCTTCAGACTGACAGGTTGTCTTCTATGAAAATTCTTATATTAAATATTGTTTATATTAATAGAATTAATTAATTATTTTTACGCGCATGCGCAGCTATGACTACGAGAATCAAATTTTACTGTAATGTAAGTAGAATGTATTAGAGTGTTCAAATAATTTGTTAAATAAATCAAATAATTGTTGATGCACCTGTGCAATGATGACTTAAGGTAAAATTTTCACAGACATACATACACACACACACACACACACATATATAAATATATTTTTTTTCTGTTTCATTTTCATTTCTTTTCTATAAGATGGCCGGTGATCGGGACCGCTAATTGCAGCGTCCCTTCAAGCAATCATTTTCATAATCCGCACTCGTAATTGGCCTGTCACACTTTTAACGGCACTAAATTCCGTGCCCTAACACTTCTATACACTATTCGTTTCACTCGTATAATTGCACATTTACAGGTGTCGTTGTAATAACCTTCGAACGTAGTCCTTTCGATTCTCCCTCCTCCAATCTCATCTTTTTATTAACCCCCCCCCCTCCTCCGATCTTAACCCACCCTCTACACATCTCGTAAATTTTACTTTTTTTTTTTTTTTAAACATTTTCTATCTAGTTAACTTTAGGAAAAAAAAAACATTGTTAATAACATTTATGATGGTGTGATTCTTCTTGGTATATTACCACTACTATTACATTATTATACATATCCT